ATATATATAATAAAATATTTTATTATATATATATATATATGACATTATAATTATATAAAACATTATTATATATAATTAATATAAAATGTAAATATATAAGTAATACATACTATATAATGTATATATATAATGTTACATTTTCTTATGAATTTAATTACATAATGTATGAAATACATAATTAATTTATTATTCATATTTACTCATACATTATTCAAATTATACATGTATATGATAAATTAATCTATAAAACCTATAATAAAAATTGTAATGTATATAAATAATATTAATAATAATGATTTTATTTATAGAGAGAGAGTGTATAACTAATTGTTAAAATACAGTGTAGTAAGCCATTTGTAGATAAATTGAATAATAACATATATATATATGTGTGTGTGTGTGTAACTGAATGATAAATACAAATATGTAATAATATTGCTTATTAATGATACATTCAGTATAATACTTTTTAAACCTTCCTTCTACATAGATGTGAGTTTGTAGTTCCTCTCTGCATAATATGATCAGTTACGATCTCACCCTCTCTCTCTCAATTCCCCTTTTTCTGAGTACTAACTATTCCCACCGTTTCCAGCCGCTCAGTTCCCCTGTTTTCTGGGTTCTGGTGGTCATATGATCATGGCCGGAGACAACAGACCCAGTCGACATAAAGCCCAAAGCAACGCCCTCCAGTCCAACATCGCATCCGCAGCCATCCTCAACCTCTCAACCCGTTGCCGAGACAACGGCGAGGCCCTGCCCCCCAGCCGGCCCCTGGCATCATCCACAAAGGTAATCAAATTAGACCACTCAGAAAAAGGTATTTAATGTGGTCATTCTGAAACAACTGTGATTTGTGTATGAAAAAGAGGAGTAACATCAAAAGACACTTTTTGGCACAGAGAACTGTGTTTCCTCTGGTGGCACAACAACAAGAGAGTGGGAGATTTTTTTCTTTTACCCACACTGGCCCTAAAGCTTTAATGTACACAAAGGAGAATTTGTGTAATCACATCAAAAAGAGTTGGGAGGAATACAATCATAGCTTCCTTCTCTATGACAATTATAAGGCTTTTTGTAAAACATGTGGCCGTGCATTTGATTTCTGCTTGTGCTAATGGTAATGTTGGGTCTTTCTCTTGTTTGCAGGAGAGAGTGTGTTTTTGGGGGGGTTTTTTCAGTGCAGATGGTCGAAGACATTTTGCTAAGTAATATATTATCCTAGATAAGCTCACACAGATCCTTTGGCGTTGATCTCTAACAGACGATCTATGAGAAGTTGGATTAAATCAATTGGTTGGGGGATTAATAGACATCACTCTTTTATTTCAATTAAATAAGGAAAGTCTACACAGGCCCTCATATCATGTATGTTACAGTGTGAAAATTGATATGTGATGTTATGATAGAGTTGTGTTCTTTTATTTAAGCTTTGTTTTTAATAGAAATTGATACGCAAATATTGATATAAGTAAAGATGGAAAACATGAACATATAGACATATATGCAAATAGTGAAAGCGTGTTCGAGTCCAGCTTACGACATTTCCTGTATTTTTCTTTTCTCACAGACAAACGTGGAATAATGCCAACAAAGTGAGCTATTATAATCATAAATATGAAGTTTTCTGGCTTTATGCATTCCTGAAACTATACAACCTTGTAATTCAAAATAAGCACTTGAAATTTAATGCAATTTAATCAAAATGCATAATAAAATTTAATTTAAAAAAAACATAATAAAAACAATACAGGATCCTAATGCTGTGTATTTTAGTAATAATTAGAAAAATAACACAGTTTGATCCATTCAGTTTGATGCCTACGATGTACAGTATATTTTTTATATATCCAGCCTCTTTTTTAATAGAAAAACAAACTGTTGATAAACATATATTAATAAAAATGCAAAGAAAAAAAAAGAACTATCAAAAATTAATTAAAAAGCATGCCGGAGTCATGGCTCCTTTTCCAGTCAGAAGTTGTAAAGTGGCACAAAAAAAAAGAGCTATTAAATATAAATATGATATTTTATTTATTAAGAACATTTACATAGAAATATATTTACATTATATATTTACGTTATATTTACATTAAATATATATTTACGTATATGCATATTGTGTAATTTAATGTAATTAATGTGAATTAATAATGTGAATAATGTAAACTTTTCTTATGTGCTAACATAATTAAAACAACAAAAATGTATTAAAAAGCACGCTGGAGTCATGGCCTAGTGATTAGTGCATAAGGGCAAAGCAAGTTCAAATCCTGCGTGCAACATTTTCTGTATTATTTCTTCTTTTCTCTCAGAAAGAAAATGGAAAAGTGCCAATAAATTGTGCTATTAAATATTAAATCTAAATATAATATATAATTTTATATATATATATATATATATATATATATACACACACACACTTGTGAAAAATAATGTAATTAATGTGATTTAACTTTCTTATATTATGCTAAAATAATAAAAACAGAAAACAGCAATCCTAATACTGTAGATTTTAGTCAAATTTAGAAACATCCAGTTTGGCGGCTTCAATCAAAGCAGGTCTTCCTCTTAGACACGGAGAGTTAAAACTGAGAGAAACTCGCAGAAGTATGGCGTGAAACGCTTCACACACCTACACAGCACACAGGCCGTTCATAGTCCCAGCACTCAGTGGGCAGAGAGCAGGTATACTGTACAAACTGAGCGGATGAATAAAACAGTGTTAGCTGATCTGTCATCTGCTGATGTCTGCGTCGAAATGTCTTTATGCATGTTAAGTATCTCGATTTCCCTGTTTGTGCCAAGTCGCTTGTTTTTTTTCTAAGAATACGGCTTATCGTCTTGCAGCGTTTCATGGAAGTGTGGGAGAAAGATGTCACCTCACTTGTTTCTGAGGCTGGAGAGAATGTCATCAGACGAGAAAAACTCACATACTGCACAGGGATGAACTCAATAGGTGCGCTGTCGGTCGCTTCTAGCTGGTTTGAGAGAGAGCCACATTTGGTTTGCAATCTGAATTATCACGATTAGTTCCTGATAAGCTCACCTTTGTATGCTACCGTGTGAAATATGTGTGTGGAATAATTGGTGCGTCACGTTTTAAGCAGTTAACGAGTTGCAAAAATTATGATATTAAGCAACACAGAGCTTTTAAACGCACTATTAATGATTGTGACCTAAAACCACTTTGGCTGAGATTCACAAACTACCTTTCACTGAGAAAAAAAAGGACGAAAACGGAATAAATATATAACTCCAATCCATATGTCCATTAAGTAGAAAACCTATACATATCTAATAGAAAGTGACATTATTAATAATCTGAAAATAAGATATAACATATAATATAATATTCAAACTAGTGCTGGGCAATGATTAATCGCGATTAATCGCATCCAAAATAAAACTTTATATATAAAGACACACACATACAGCATATATTTTGAAAATATTTACATGTATATATTTATTTAATTTATATTATATATAAATATATGTAATATATAAACAACATATTTTTCTTAAATGTATACATGCATGTGTGTGTGTGTGTGTGTGTGTGTGTGTGTATATTTATATATACATAATAAATATACACAGTAGTACACACACATATATATTATGTACATAAAAACTTTTATTTTGGATGCGATTAATCGCGATTAATCATTGCCCAGCACTAATTCAAATACGTAATTTACTTGGTAGAACTTTTTAAAAATGTTTTTAAATAAGTCTCGTATGCTCAAAAATACAATAAAAACAAAAATATTGTGAAAAAATATTGCAAATTACAAAACTTATTTTCTATTTGAATACATTTAATTTTTAAATTTATTTCTGTGATTCAAAGCTGAATTTTCAGCATCATTACTCCAGTCTTCAGTGTCTCATGATCTTTCAGAAATCATTCTAATATGCGGATTTGCTGCTCAAGAAACATTTCTTATTATCAATGTTAAAAACAGTTTTTTTATGGAAATAGTTTTTTTTCAGGATTCTTTGATGAACAGAAAGTTCAAAAGAACAATGTATTTGAAATATAAATATTTTGTAACATTATAAATATCTTTATTGTCACTTATGATAAATTTGATGCATTCTTGCTGAATAAAAGTATGAATTTTCCTGAAAAAAAGGTATGCAATGCAAATATTGCAAGTTTGGCTGGTTAGAAAAGTAAAAGCGCACCACACTGCAACAAAACCACATGTTTTGAGGCATCATTTATGTCTGTAACACAAATAAGGTTGGATGAGCTGTTCACAGAATTGTAATATTCACAGGTAGGGGTTTGTTCAAGTCTCTAACCCTAACTATGAGCAATAGTAGTGTGATGTTCAAGGTTTTGGCTCAGAAAACAAGTTCGAAACACTGTTTTCTATGGGAAAAGTGCTCTGGTTATCAAAGGTTGGGTATCAACAAGACGCTCTGTTTCTTTATCATTCAGGACTCTCTGATAGAGGTAGACGAGAATGGAACGCTGGATTTAAGTATGAAGAAAAAGAGAGAAAAGGCGAGGGACTGTTCCGTGATGCCGGCGTTAGGAGACGCTCTTTTCATCCCACCTGAACCTTCTCTAGCCAAAGCGGCGGGTCTCCAGATCTCACCGGCCATCTACCGTGTCCTCTACGAACAGGACGCCTGGGACACGCCGCTGAACTACAGCAAAACACCTGCACAGCAAGACAAAGAGGTGAGACAGAGGCAGATATTTACACTACCATTCAACGGTTTGGCTCGGTGAGGTTTTTCTTACAGGCTCTTACGCTCACCGTAGCTGCATTTATTTGATAAAAATACAGTAGAAACAGTAAAATTGTAAAATATTTTTTACAATTTAAAATAACTGTTTTCTATTTGAATGTAATTTAAAATTAGTGCTGTCAAACGATTAATCGTGATTAATCGCATTCAAAATGAAAGTTTTTGTTTACGTGTGTATATGTGTGTGTACTGTGTATATTTATTATGTATATATAAATACACACACATTAATGTATATATTTAAGAAAAATATGTTGTATTTGTATATTAAATACATTTATATATAATATAAATTATATAAATATATACATGTAAATATTTTCAAAATATATACTGTATGTGTATTTATGTATACATAATAAATATACACAGTACACACACATATACTACATAAGCAAAAACTTTTATTTTGAATGCGATTAATCGTGATTAATTGTTTGACAGCACTATTTAAAATGTAATTTATTCTTGTGATGCAAAGCTGAATTTTCAGCATCATTACTCCAGTCTTCAGAGAAATCATTCTAACGTGCTGATTTGCTGCTCAAGAAACATTTCTTATTATTATCCATGTTGAAAACAGTGAACAAAAAAAGCTGCTTTATATATTTTTTGGAAACCAAAATACATTTCTTTTTATGAGTCTTTGATAAATCAATGATAAATTTGGAAATAGAATTGTTTTGAAACATAATAAATGTCTCTATTGTCAATTTTGATCAGTTTAACGCATCCTTATTGAACAAAAATAATAATTAAAAACTTGAACTGTATGTAGTATGCAAAACTCTAATAAAATTGGGTGGAAAATGTATAATGTCTAATTATAATAATGTCCTGAGGAAATACATCCAGTGTCTAAATGCTCTTTGACTTTGTTGTATGCTACATTAGGAACATATTCCACTTAAAGGAACACTCCACTATTTTTGAAAGTAGGCTCATTTTCCAACTCCCCTAGAGTTAAAGAGTTGAGTTTTACCGTTTTCAAATCCATTCAGCCGATCTCCGGGTCTGGCGGTAGCACGTTTAGCTGTAGCTTAGCATAGATCATTGAATCTGATTAGACCATTAGCATCTCGCTCAAAAATGACCAAAGAGTTTCTATATTTTTCCTATTTAAAACTTGACTCTTCTGTAGTTACATCGTGTACTAAGACCGACGGAAAATTATGATATAATGATATTACGCAGCGCCTGAAAATAGTCGCTCCCTGTGCAAGCAGTTGGTCACGTTGGTTATGTTGACGGAAGTTAGCCTATTTTCAGGCACTGCGTAATATCATTGCGCCTGCTGCACCCATGGTACGGCAGCAAAGTTCCTTGATTATTACGCCGGAATGAGAGTATAGTTCCTAGCCATATCGGCCTAGAAAATAGCAACTTTTCATTTTCCGTCGGTCTTAGTACATGATGTAACTACAGAAGAGTCCAGTTTTAAATAGGAAAAATATAGAAACTCTTTGGTCATTTTTGAGCGAGATGCTAACGGTCTAATCAGATTCAATGATCTATGCTAAGCTACAGCTAAAAGTGCTACCGCCAGACCCGGAGATCGGCTGAATGGATTCGAAAACGGTAAAACTCAACTGTTTAACTCTAGGGGAGTTGGAAAATGAGCCTATTTTCAAAAATAGTGGAGTGTTCCTTTAAAACCCTTATGTTTCTATTTCTTCATCTAAATGATCTGGTTCAGTCAGCCACGACCTTAGGCGCACTGTCTCTTGCGATGTGCTGCTATGACACTAAAATTGAAAAGAAATTGCAGAAGAATGTTCCTGAAAAGCCGACAATTTTTCATTCTCTTTAGAGTCAAAGAACAAACCCAGACAGTTGTATGTTTGTCTGGTTCTCCCTCTGACATCTGGTGCTCAAAGATACTTACCTTATAAAAAAAGTAAGTAAATCCAAAGGTTTTATGCCCATCATAAATACTACGAGGGATTATATTGGAGTTTAAATGGATATCTGTTTTACTAAGTATACTTAAGCAGCATCAGACCTCTCACAGACTGTTAGTGCACGTGTGCTCACAGAATGGCATTTGTTTAAGTGACCGTCATGTCTTTTCTTGGAAAATCGCACAATGTTTTGACCTTCTGTCCTTTGTCTTGTAGATGGATCAGCTGGAGAAGGCGTCTCTCGAGGATAAAGCATACAATGGGGATGCAAGCATGGCAAAAAATAAGATGCTCATAAGAGACAACAAGAAAGAGCTGATGAGGTAATAACATTACTTGAACCGCTGTTTTGGGGTTTCTGTTTCTGTGAGCATGATAAAGACCCTGTTAATAATTAGAGCATGTATAGTAGATCAAGAAATCATAGGCTGTGTGCATCTGGTCATTATTCTGGTCTTTTTTTCTCTTTGCAGTTGTCCGACACCAGGTTGTGATGGTAGTGGTCATGTGACAGGAAATTATGCGTCACATAGAAGGTAAAAAGCCCTGCATGTTTTTCCCCATCTTTATTTTTCAAGCAGCAAAATAACCTTGAAAAAATATACATAATATCTCCATTGTTTTTGTTTTGTTTTTTCATTTTTGTAGTGTATCTGGTTGCCCACTGGCTGACAAGACCCTGAAATCACTAATGGCTGCTAATTCGCAAGAGCTCAGGTAAGAATCAGCTAAAGTTTCAATCCAATAAAAATAAGAAATTATTTTAAAATGACATAGAATTAATGTGTAGAAATAATGTAAATGTATGTATTTTATAAATTATTATAAGTAATAACTATAATAATAATTGTACTATAATTATAAATATTTATTATTATTGTTGTTACTGTTATTATTGTCGTTGTTTTTATTTATAATGCATTTTATTTATTAAAATATTTAATAAATTATTATGACCTAAACATTTTAGTTGAATTAAATTTTTTTATATATATTTTAAAAATTAAAAATGTTTTTTTTAATCATTTCAGTTTGTAAATATGAAAATTTATTATTTTTTATTATTATTATTATTATTATTATTATTATTATATCAATTTATTAAAACTGTTTATGTACATACATGTGTACTTACATATAAATATATACATCTACATATATATACTGTATATATATATATATATATATATATATATAAATAGGAAAAAAAGTCTAATTTTTTGTGGTGAGAATTATTAGATCATTTTAAAAACTATTATAAAATGAATTTCAAATTAAATTGAATTAAACTAGCATACCATAGGTTTAAATGCATCAAACGTCTGTATCTTTATAAAAATGGTGCTTTGTTAATAATATATCTAAAACTGTTAGAAATATTTTACATTAAAAAAAAAATTTCACTGTATCCCACAATTTTTCTCATAACATTAATGGAAAAAAATTTTTGGAATTAATTTTTTGAAATTTGTAAAAAAAAATAAATAAATAAAAAAAGACTTAATATATGTGCTATAAAATAATTTTAAATGAAAATCAAAATTTCATTTTCATATAAAGAATGCATATAACTTTTTGATTTTTTAAAATCAAAACAACTTGTGCATCTAGCCTTTAAAACAATTATTTTCACAGTAAAACACATAAAAAAAAATGTTGTTTTAGGGAATACTGTATGCCAGAAAGCTAGATGAAAAATCATTATATAAATCCATATTTATTTTTTGTTTTAATAAAAATAGAAGGATAGTTTATGTTCGTAGCACTGCATTTCCTAGAAAAAACATTCAAAAATATCATCCTTTTAATTCAGGGAACTCTTTCCTCGTTTTCCCGTAAGATCTCATTTAATTACAATAACGCAGCAGTTTGCTCTTTAAAAACATAATACTATGGAGGACAAAAAAACTTAATTGAATTGATTCCAGCCTTAAATCCGAAGTCTGACCCAGAGTGACAGGGCTTTCCTATTTTTGCATCTGGGCTAGTATTTCATTTTTAATTACTAATGCAAAGACGAGAGCTTAGGAATTAGACGGTAGCAGGTCCATACACACTAAAGGAGGAACAGAGAGGCAGAGAAATGGACGGTACAGCTGTAATGTCGCTAGATTATTGTAAATTGGCGGCCATATGGTCCATCTCTGTTGTCCCGCGGTCAGGAACGCCATTCCCGGAGCCGAACGTGATGGAGTCGTAATGTTGTCTTGTTTTAGTCAGCGTATTAGAGCCAAAACTGCCATAACAACCTTTCCCATACAGGCCCACAGACAAGCTATTTGTACTATCCCAGATAACCTCTCACCTCTTCCAATATGGGCTATCAGGGAAAGGGTCAGCCACCTCCAAATCATGTGCTTTTTCCCCCCTGTGGAGGACGCGCAACAATTATGTGCAATTTATGTCATTCCATTACTGACCTAGGGGGAAAGTGAGCAGCAAAATAAATTGGCCAACTCCTCAGCACTCTAGTCTTCAACTTGGTAGGGCTTATGTTTTCCATCGGCGGCACGTTAACCTCCCTACCCGTAATTATTTACTGGAGTGTGTTTCAGACGAAGTCCGCCTGTGAATTATTCCTTCCCTTTTTTCTGCTTTGAATACATTTTTAATCAGCATTTCACAGGATTAATCTTCTTAATGGTATTTGAAAAGTCTTCCAACTCGGCAAATTGGGGGTGGGGGTGTTTACGGACTCGTGTAATGACAAATGCGTCGCGGCGGCGGTGTGGGCCCTCGGAAGTTTTAGCCATCAAATTATCGAGTGAATGTATACGGGCTCGTTTGTGTTTACGTTGTAAGCTCAAATAAGAGATTATCTTTGGCAATCACTGTTACTCTGTTGAGTTTAGGACAACAAAAGAGGGCTGCGCGGGGGGTTTCATTTAAGCAGGTCGAGGGGTCGGGTCACATCTGTGTGGGTTTTGGCATGGTGACCCAGAAATCTATACCAAACAACCTTTGTGATGCAGATTATGACCTAGTTCCCCCCAACTAGTATTGTTTTAGTATCGCTGATATAGTGTTATAGGGTTTTTTTTTAATTAGATTTTATTTTTAAATTTAAAATTTTTATTTAATAATGTATATATATATATATATAGAGAGAGAGAGAGAAAACAAAAACTACAAAAAATTTGAAAAATCCACAACAAAAACACTACTATTTCAACCAACATTAAATAAAAACTCAAAATATAAAATTATAAGCACAAGGTTTTAGTGATTTTGTTTTGAGTTTTTGTCACTTTTCATAGTCATTACATACATACACATACATATGTGACCCTGGACCACAAAACCAGTCATAAGGGTCAATTTTTTGAAATTGAGATTTATATATCATCTGAATAAATAAGCTTTCCATTGATTTATGGTTAGTTATGACAATATTTGGCCGAGATACAACTATTTGAAAATCTGGAATCTGAGGGTGCAAAAAAAAACTAAATATTGATAAAATCGCCTTTAAAGTTGTCCAAATGAAGTTCTTAGCAATGCATATTACTAATCAAAATTTAAGTTTTGATATATTTACGGTAGGAAATTTACAAAATATCTTTATGGAACATGATCTTTACTTAATATCCTAATGATTTTTGGCATAAAAGAAAAATCAATAATTTTGACCCATACAGTGTATTGTTGGCTATTGCTACAAATATACCCCAGCGACTAAAGACTGCTTTTGTGCTCCAGGGTCACATATGCCTATATCCATTTTATTCCTTTTTTATTTTTGTTTTAGTTTTCATTTAGTTAAACTAGATTAAAATGTTTAAAATGTTTCCTCAGTAGCTAGCTGAATTAAACAATTTTTTATATATTTTATTTTATTTCAGTTAATGTTTTTTTGATGGTTTTATTTTTATTTCCAGTTTTAGTTATATAAGCTATAATAACCTTAAAGTTCTGAAATCTACTGTATATATGTGCACTGCATAAATTAGGTCGCTAGTAATATAACTGCTTTAATTATTTACTGTTTATTATTAGTTTTTAAGTACCAAAAACATATTTTGCTGTATATTTCACATTTTTCTCATGAAATGAATAGGAAAAACAATATTTAGTTAGATGTTGATGATCCTACTTTCACTGATCATTTGTTGGGGAAAAAAAGTCTTAATTTATGTACTATGTTCATTGACAGTGAAAATATCTTTACCAGGATGCACATAATCTTCAGTGAAATCCGAGTGCATTGTTTTGTTGTTAATGCGATCGTAAGTATATATTTCCCTTCTCGTGCATCAGGTGCCCGGTGGCAGGCTGTGACGGTCAGGGCCACGTGTCGGGTAAATACACGTCTCATCGCAGCGCAGGAAGTTGCCCGATCGCCACCAAGCTGCAGAAGGAGAGCTCTGTGAACGGATCTGCCTTTTCCTGGAAGCTCTGTAAACAGGAGCTTCCGCACTGCCCTCTGCCCGGCTGCAACGGCTTGGGTCACGCCAACAACGTCTTTATCACACACAGGAGGTGAGGAAACTATACGATAACCTGGAACTTCAGTTCTGATGTTAAACCTAGTATCTACTGTATAATGAGACCTCTTGACCCGACCTGAACACATTCACTGTGAACTTTCTGAGTTGTACATTTATATGATATTATCTTATATTACATTGAAATGTGATATACTTTAAATAAAATTCTAGTATATTATATATAATGTAATAACACTATACATTATATAATATAAAAATTTTCACATAAATATATGAAACGAATATTAAAATACACAAATATATACATGTTGACTTCAGAAATACGATGATAAAAGTATTTATGATTCAAAATATGCATTTTGTTCTGTAAATATATATACACACAATACAGAACTCACTATATTATTATTCCAATAAATTTCCAATATTATTACTATTATTTCCAATCAAGCTAACATATGTGGATTATTAATGTTGTGTATTTTTTCACATAAATATTCAACTACACAAATATATACAGGTTGACTTCAGAAATAAGTAAAAATAGCAGTATTCATTATGCAAAATGTGTATTTTCTTCTGAAATTAATATATATCTCGAGTTTATTCATTTTTGACCACCATTACAGTATCCAATAATGTTATTATCTGTAAATGTAAACATTCTGTGAATGTTGCTGATTACGGTCATATATTATACTTATGATCTGAAACTAGATTATAATTTGTGTAGTTAAAAAAAGAAAAATTCTAAATCTGTAGATTTTGTGTTTTGTCCCTTGACAGTTTGTCAGGATGTCCACTAAACGCCCAGAGTATCAAGAAGAAACTCTCCGATGAGGAGATGATGACCATCAAACTCAAAACCAGCAGCGGTGAGTAATTCAAGCGCTTAAAAACGATAAAAGAGCATAAAATGAAGCTAAATGCTGAATGTTTGACACACTAATTTTATCATTGTAGTGTGCGATAAGAAGCAGAAGAAGAAGAAACATAAAGAGCTTCAAAAGTTACTGCAGCTTTCTCAAGCACTATAGTTGAGATTAACATTGCCTGGCTTGTCTTCTGTCAATCAGGTTTCGAAAACAGTGAAGACATGCAGCACTTGGATCACGAAATAAAGGAGCTAAATGAATCCAATCTGAAGATAGAAGCAGACATGATGCAGCTCCAGACTCAGGTAAATAACATGATCTTTTGATTTAGTTATTTAGTCATTTAGCAGACGCTTTTATCCAAAGCGACTTACAAATGAGGACAATAAAAGCAGTCATATCATATAATGATATGCATTCATTTGACCTTACACGCTGAGCATTGTGGGTAACGTAGTTTCAGAGCTGAAGTTTTTCCCTGTTTTAAAACAGATTTCATCTATGGAGTGCAACCTCAAGACTATCGAGGAGGAGAATAAAATAATCGAGCAGCACAACGACAGTCTGTTGAAGGAGTTAGCGCATCTCAGTCAAGCACTTATCAACAGTCTCACAGATATCCAGCTGCCGCAGATGGTGAGACGAACCTCAGGCTGGAACATTTACACCGACCGACACGCTCTGATTAACATGTAAAACATAACCTGATCTCTGTCAACAAATGTTATTACACAGTTTTTGATCAGTGTATAAAGTCACTTACAAAAATCAATGGTCACGGTAACTAACTATACTGTAAAAAAATACGGTTTGCAAGTAACATAATAATTTAGAAATATGCCATTAAGGTTTCTGCAGGTTTTATGAAGGCCAAGTTAAGACTTTTCAAATATGTGTTTAAGACGAAGTAAAGAAAATGATAGTTTTCTTACCTTATTGAGATATATTTGTTATTGTCTTAAGAATAAAATCACTTAAATGTATTCAATTTCTCAGAAAACAAGACTTCAACTATCTTCACATTGCAATTCAAGTAAATGTAACAAGACAGTATGTATGCATTTATTCATTTATTTAGTGCAGTGCATGCAACATTACATTTAATATAATAGAACTTTGTGTTCTGATTAAGACCTTTTTAAGGCTTTTATTTGTGGTTGACCCACAAAAACCCTGTGTTAATATTAGTTAACTACATTACCATAAACTAACAATATAAAATGATTCTAAAGCAGTTAATGTTAATTTCAAAATGTACAAAATGAAAAGATGATAGCGATAACAAAGATGAATAAATACTGTATCAAATGCTCATTGTTAATGTTAGTTAATGCATTAACTAAAATAATATTAAAAAGATATTTAATATGGCCAAATCCAATTGAATCAATTTTATCAGCTATAAATATTTCCTTAAGGAACCAGCTGCACATTTTATATTTTACAGTGAATTTTCTAAGAAAGTACCATAGCTACTACAGTAAAACTGTGGAAACTTGGTATTAGCCACTGCTGTCATTATTACAAGACAATTTAATAGCCACACGAGTTGTTTGCAGGCTAATTTAATTTAATATGATGTAATAAATACATAATATATTCAAAGAAATGAAGGATACGGGTTTATATAATATTAAAACAAAATGGGAAATTGAATTAGATAATAAAATAACAGAAGGAGATTGAAAACAAAGTTTAAAAGAAAATGTAAGAACTACGCAATCTCCATATTGGCAAGAGTATGCTTGGAATATCAATATGCGATATTTTATAACACCAGAAATATCTTCCAAATATAATCATTTCTTTTCAGCATGTTGGAGAAGCTGCGGTGAACTTAAAGCCCATTATACTCATATATTTTATACTTGCAAAATAAAAATAAAACACGTGGACAGAAGTAATTCAGGTAATAGAAGACATTTTTAAGAAATCAAATATAATAAAGGTACAAAATAGAGTTTTGGGTATAGGACCTACGCTACTTAGTAAAGATGAGTTATATTTATTTAGAATACTGAGAATTACAGCTTTTAAAACAATAACATAATTTTGGAGAAGGCAAGAATCCGCCGTTTTAAATGATTGGTTAGATTTAACTCTATGGAGAGGATAACACATGAAATTAAGAGTAAAAGTATACATTTTGAAAAGATATGGGCACCTTCAAAATCAAAGTATACATTATAAAATAAAGGAATTCATATACTAATTACCTCTATATAATTCTACATCCCTTTTAATTGATTCATGAATTATTTTTATTTAATTCATATTATAATGAATTCGTCTTAATATGATTTGAATTGCTTATTAGGAATTAGGTGTCATTATAAGAGTTTGATATGAATATGTGGATTTTTTTCATATGAAAAAGTGTTTTGGTTATTGTTCTAATTATTATTTTTTTTCTTTATGCATTGGTGATAGGTATTATCACAAGAGAGAAAAAAAAGTGAGGGAAAAGAAAGTAGAAGGAAAAATGAGGAATAATAATTGGTAAAAAAAAATATGATGTCTTTAAAGGAAATTTGTATAACTGTTTTAAATGTGCTTGAACTGAAAGACAAAGTATTCAAAAAAATGTAATATGATAATTTACAGGAATTCATTTAATATGATTTTACTGTTGCAACAACAACTGTAGTTATTGTGGTATTTTAAGGTAAAATATCAATTCAAATTGTGCATGCATGTTTGTAAGGGATGAATGCATTTTAAAGACATTATGAAACATGCATTTTAGAGTTACTGAATTTATTGTTCTTTAATGTGTTTCAGGGTCCAATAAACGAACAGAACTTCGAAGCCTACGTGAACACGTTGACGGATATGTACAACAATTCAGAGCAGGAGTATTCACCCGAATGCAAAGCCTTACTGGACAGCATCAGACAGGCCATCAAGGGCATTCACATATAAGGCCAAACTCTCGTTCACAACCCTTTGATTGTCCGCAGAGGGCTGGCTTTGTCATCTGTGCAAGATATGTCTCGTTTAAAACAACTCCATTCCATGACAAATTCATTGCACTGAAAATTACCAGCCACATTTTTACAGCTCAGTGTTCCTTTTAGTGAGATTTGACCTCCTTTTGCACTTATTTATTTCCTATGGTTTGCGTGACTTTATTCCGTATTGTTCTTTTGTGTGTTATTATATCATTCCTACTATTCATCGGTACTATTTATCTCACAGTAATCTTATTTATTTATTGCTATCATTTTTGCTGCAACTCCAAAAATGCAAGGCCAATCTTACATAGTGAATTTTAGTTTGCATTTGTTGTACAATAACTGGGAGTTTTAGTCCTTCAAAATATATCATGATGACTTTTTCTTCACTACTGATGTCAAATGTTAGAATAGCCCACTTGCGCCACCTGTTGGTGAGCAGCTGTTATTGGTCTATTAGAGCCGTACTGTATGCATCACTGACTTATTTTTTTAATGTAGTTAATGTACCCCACTGAAATGACATCATTTGTTTTCATGCATAAATTCTAACAAGTGAGCAAAAAGACAAATATTTTATCCGATTAACTCTCCAAACGACTGTACAGTGAGCAAAAATCAAATCATCCACATATACACACACACACACACACACACAAAATGATTTCCGTTTCTGTTCATATGAACTGCCTTTGGTGTGCACATCCGTGTGTGCATATATGTGCCTAAATGTAAATGAGTACATGGAATATGATATGTTTTGTGGTAGAGCAGTATTATGTGAATGGTGATTCATTTTATTCTGCAGTATATTTATTTTCTGAATGAAAAGCCTCTAAACTCGGTTTACCTTTGTTTATACGCCATTTTAAGTACGTAACGATATTCTTGTAAAAAAAGTGTTTTATGATCAGGCGCAATACGGTTTTTATTCTTTTCTGTGAGACTGAACTCCTCAACCTTTGGCTTCTTTTGTGCGACAAGCGGTGGGCTCTCAAATAGGTTTTATGGATGATATTTTCTCAAAGCACTTTGTGTCTTTAAGCCACTAAAATAGAAAAAAATGGCAATTTACAGCAAAAGAACGGCAATAGAGTAATCTTTCCATTTTGACTGGATCTGTACCACTTGATTTTGTGTTTAAATGCACGGCCGAGGTCACCTTATTGCTGTGTTACGATCACAAATGGCCTCGTCGCAGCACTTTTAAAGCTTTCTCTAACACTAAACGTACCCTTTTGCACTTTTATTCTGTTATTTAGTGTTTATTTTGACAAATAATTAATGCAGGTTAATTAGCACACTGAAGGAGTTTAACCTTAGTTTTACGTTGTCCATTGATAATGTCAAAAATTGTGTTTTTGCAGGTCATGCAGATGGAATAAAACACTATTATCTGACCAAATGTGCATAATGAATTGTATTCTCAATAAAACCGAATCTTTTTTTTTTGTTGTTGTTGTTGATGAAATCCTAAATTACTGTATAATTCATGATTAATTCTGTTTCAGTTATTTGTAATTCCTAATTTTTAATTTATAAACCACAGATTGTTTGCTCAGGAAGTTTTGTGAGGAATATTTATTTTTCCTTTTTGTATTTGATGTTTTGTAATGTGATATGACTTTTTTTTGTGTAAAAGAAAAAAATAGTATAATACACAGTACTGTAAATGATTTTGTTCATTTTTGTTTTTAAAAATATGTTTTTTGTTTTTTCAGTTCGAGTAGTTTGTATATCAGGATTTCCTTACACTTTTAAAATTTCATAAGCAGTACTGCGCTGTGTTGTACAGTTTGTGTATGGTAGAAATAAACTATTGAAATGATCTGCATAGCACTCATTGTACAGTTGCTCATATTAAAGTCCTATAAAAATAATATCATTTATATTAAAGCTCATATACAAATATTTACTAGATATAGATCTATATGAAGAGTGCATTTGAGAGAGATATATATATATTTTAACTTGGTTTACTATATATATTTTAGGTTCAAATTTTCATAAATATACATACTTTTTGGTGGTTTCACATGGTCACTACATTTTTTTCTTCTCTAGTTCATTTTAAATACTCTTTTGATGTAAAAAAAAAAAATTTTTTTAAATGATAAACATTCCATATAGTCTTTATAGTATTTAATTAATAAAACTGCAAAAAAATTGTCTTGAATCTTCATGAAATCATAGGGAAGCATTTTTCCTCACAGAAGTTATAAATTATACAATTTGCAAATCAATTTGACAGCGTAACATTTAAAACGTTTTTGACAACTAATTTACTGTCACTTTTTCACTCTGCTCATTTTCAGTGCTCTTGCTATGTGAAAAAAAATCATTTTTGAAAGTATAAATATTCCAACAAGTCTCATATTTATTCATAAAACTGCACAAATATACTGTAGAAATTGCAAAAATGTCTGAAAAGGTTGAATCTCCATGAAATGTAGCTCCTCACATAAGTTTATTGTTAATGGCGTTCCAATTACATCAACGCTCAAACCCAAATCCAAAATGTATTATTTTTGGAAATCAAATTTGAGCATAGCACTTTAAATTGTGCTCTCTGGACATGTTCTGGGCCTAGGGAACATTATAAGATTTTCAAAAACTATTTTCATATTTACCAGCAGATAGCGTATGAATGCAACTTTGCGGTACAAATGGTTTCAGGCCTTGGTTCCCGAAAAAAGTGCTACAAAAAAAACTACAGGCGCTGATTTCAGTTTTAGCAACTGCAAGAACAAATAAACAATATATAACATTATATAACATAACATCCAATATAACATCTTCAGCAGTTTGACTGGTTACATCACTACACAATGAGGTATTTTCCTCCTCAGGCCCCTCACGTGACCCTACAGCACTGATGAAATCTGCGCCGTGTAAACATGGTGTTCGGTTTGTTACCCTTTGTAATTATCTTTTGATCATTATCAGAGTAATTTATCCTTGCCTGTGATGAGTTGATGATGATTCAAATTACATCTAATTACCTGAACCGTGGCTCAGCTTTCCTGTTACACGTCACAAACCCAACAATTATTAAACGCGTGCACAGCATACAGGTGTATGTTTGAGTTCTGTTGATTCACCTGAATCTCTCAGTGGGATATGCTAACATGCCACGCTCAGAAATCTCATGAAAATCAGAGAAAAAGCAGAGCTGCTCCTGGCCTGGGTTTGGTCTTGGGTCTTTGACCCACTGTGTCAGTGACTTTCTGCAGCCACCCCAGGCCTCTCAATACTAGCTGTCCTCACTAGCATATACTGCCTAGGAATGAGCTGCACTTTATTTAACTACGTTTTAAAGGTATTAATACTCATGCAGATGACAAATGTAAATAAGCTGCTGTATGCATCAAAATGAGCTGGGTGCACAATTTTTAGTACGTGCTTTGACATAAAGTGGTCTTCTCATCTTATCTGAGTTCATCCTTAGGTCTATCTGATCTTAACCACTGATTTACATACATGGGGGACATACCAGAAAATTCTCTTGCTGTAATATAAAGTAGATTATAACTACAGACGAACTCCAATTCAAATCTTTCTCCTAAAAGATCAAAAATGTTTAAATGAACATAAAAACTTTTGTATAAAGCCAAACTTGAGTTAATATAATGAACTATTATGTGTGTATGTGTATTTATACATACACCCAGACATAGTAGTTTATTATGTTAAATATATGATATTTAATTATTATATATTTTTTATTGTTGCCTATTTAATATATCAAATGCAAGAATAAAATTTGTTTTAATATAATAAATTATTATTTAATACAATAAATGATGACATGTATATAATAAATAGCTATGAATATCTGCACTTTAAAAAAAACTAAATAAAAACGTGTGTTTGTGTGTTTATTGATTTATTTTTGTTTGCTTTTATACACATTTATTATATATTATATTTATTATTTATGTATTATATTAACTTATGTATATATATATATATAAATGCTATTTAATGTAATAAATTATTATTTAATACAATAAATTATTAAATTACATTGTATATTACATTATGTTATGACTATCTGTTATATACACACATAATAGTTTATTATAACATACAATCATATATTTTTTAAACAAATTATTATTTAGTACAATAAATTATTTATATTTATTGGACTAAATAATAGTCATATTTATCCTCAAACTAAATAAACTCGTGCTTGCTTACACACAACCCATTAAATTAAAATATAAGCAAATAGTTTTATAAAGAGTCTGCATCTAATTCCATCTGTCTTTTTTGATCTACATATGCATTCTAGGAGGGAAAAGTGTGCTATACATTTTGGGGCTAAAGGGGAGTTTTATATGACCCTCTGTTGCTTTGAGATCATTTTACCCAGAATGTACGGTGGCCGAGAGAGCTCAACGCGAATGCAAATAGAAGAAACACCTGCAAATTAAGAAAACAACTTCATCAATTTGACAACACACACGCTGCAAATGCTCACAACACAACACAATAATTCTTTATTTGTTTGTGTTGTGAGCATTTGCAGCACCTGCTGTCAAACTGATGAAGATGTTTGCTTGATTTGCTGGTGCTTTTTCTATTTGCAAGTGTTTTCTGAAGTTGCAGCGCGTTGAGCTCTCTCGGCCACCGTAATAATTCCATTGGATGAGAGTGCTGTTACATATGTTCTATGTTGTAGAGTTATTTTTAGGAACTTGGTACCGTGTATGAACATTATGGCCTGATGTATGTTGAAAAAACGTATTATGCAGTCAATCCTGTAGGAGCATCGTCCTCTATCATTGAAACTTAATGTCCAGATGTATAAATGGGCACTTACTCATTTTAAACTGGTTTCAAAATGCTAATTTCCCAGTAGAGTTGGACTAAGTGGATCTTACAGGGCCATGATGGGTCAACAGGGTAGAGTGGCCTATGGGAAAATAAAAAGATGTCATCGTGGTGAGTAAATACTGTTTTCCAGTCCGGCTGAGAGCACTGACATATGACAAACGTTACCAACAGAACTGTTAACCAGGCTTACATTTATGCCAGACAG